CCGGTCTCTATCTTTCAGGGCTGTGCGCCTGCTCAGTGCACTTTCTCTGACGGCTCTATTGCTGTGTCTGAGACAGCTGTTGCAGCGCATTTTCGTCCGGGAAAGGACCCCCGCCCCAAGGCTGGGCGCGGCGGTGGTAGTGGGAAAGGTGGGGGTGGAGGAAGTGGTGGGGCCGGGTCGCCTGCTGGGGGTGCCGACGAGGGCGCTAGGCTTGGCACCGCCAAGCAGCAGTCTCAGCAGCAGCAACAGGATCCACCGCTGGGTCAGCAGCCAATGCCGCAGCAGCAGCCGTCGCAGCAGCAGCGGCGGGCTGCTCGTCTCCCGCCCGGTTGGCCCGGCGCTGGTGGTGGCGGCGGGCGCTGCCAGTACCAGCTCCAGACCGGTCCTCGCCGTGGCCTAGTGTGCGGTAAGATCGGTCACACCCCCACCCGCTATTTCAGTCGTCAGGGCAACCTGTTTGGTCTTCGCTTCGGCCCGTCGCCCGACCTACCCGACTGTCTCAGCTTGCTCCGTCGGGGTGTTCAGATCTTTGATATGGGCACGGAAGAGACTAGTTCTGCGTTGTATGTGCTGTATGTCGATGACTCTAGTGTGATTGGTTTGGCTTACCCCGTGTTGCCTTGCGTAGGTGTGCCTAGCTCACACTCCCCTGCTGCGTCAGTCGTAGGATCCCCTGCTTTGTTTAGCCTAGGCTCCTCTCTCGCTTCTTCAGCTCCTGCCGCCACTGCTGCGCTCTCCTTCACCCTTGACTCCGGTGCTTCCCGGTGCTTCTTCCGGGACTCCACTACTCTCACGCCGCTTGCAGCTTCCGCCGCAGTTTCCCTGGCTGACCCTTCCTCAGGCCCTGTCATAGCTCGTAGCTCCACTACCCTTCCCTGTCCGGCGGCTCCTTCGGGCTCACTAACAGGCCTGCACATCCCCTCGTTCTCTAGGAACCTAGTTGGTGTCGGCTGCCTCCAGGACCTTGGCGTCACCACTACGTTCCCTGGTCACGAGCGGTACGCTGTCTGTACCGAGGCCGCCACTGGTGCTCCCCTCACCGCGTTCCCCCGGGACCCTGTGTCTGGCCTGTTCACGCTGGACACCCCCCCCCCCCCCGGTTGGGACGTCTCCCCAGGTGACTGTGTCTCCTCAGGTAGCTGCAGCTTGCTCATGTCGGTTGCTCACTCACCTGACACTACTGTGGCACCACCGCCTAGGTCACCCTGTCCTCCCTCGTCTTCGTCATATGTCTCAGCACGGTCTTGTTCTAGGTATCCCTGGGTCGTTCCCCACGCTCCCCTCCCCACCCGCGCCGCCGTGCACCCCCTGCATCGAGGGCCGGCTTCGCCGTGCCCCTCACTCCTCCTCGTTCCCCCCCACCACCGCACACGTGCAGACCCTGCACATGGATGTCTAGGGCCCCGCCCGGCCACGTCGTGAGCGTTACTTCCTCGTCCTTGTGGACAACTACACACGTTACACCACCGTGTTTCCCCTGGAGCAGAAGACCGACGTGCCCGACGTTCTTCTCTCGTGGCTTGTCTCTGCGCGTGTGCACCGAGGTCTCCATGTGTTGCGTCTCCACTCTGACCGAGGTGGCGAGCTCGCCTCTAGTTGGCTTGGGCGTTTCTGTCGTGCGGAGGGCATCACCCAGACGTTCACCTTGCCGGACTCCCCGCAGCAGAATGGGGTCGCTGAGCGACGCATCGATTAGGTCATGGAGGTGGCCCGTACCTCCATGATCCATGCTGGTGCACCCCATTTTTTGTGGCCGTTCGCCGTCCGCTACGCCGCTCAATAGCTTAACCTGTGGCCGCACCCTCAGCGGCCGCAGGTTTCGCCGACCCTCCTCTGGACCGGGTCCTCTGGTGACGCATCTGCGTTCCACGTCTGGGGCTGCCTTGCTCACGTTCGTGCCTCTGGCACGGACAAGCTCACTACCCGCACCGTCCCCTATGTCTTCCTAGGTTTCCCCCTCGACTCGTCTGACTGGCACTTCTACCACCCGCCGTCTCACCGTTTCCTTCACTATCGCGACGTCACCTTTGACGAGTCCGATCCTTCTACCACCGTTTTCCCCACCGTGGTCCCCCGGTTACTCCCCCCCTATTCCTGGTTCCCCCTCCCCCGGTCGCCATTGCTTCCCGACCTCCCCGCCATGCCACATCTGGTGTGTCTCACGTCACCCCCCTCCCGTCGGTTGTCCCGGTTGAGGAGTCTGCTGACTCTAGTGGCCCTGCGGCGCAGTCTTTGCCGCCTGCCCCCTCCCCAATGTCTCCTCCTTCGCCGTCGCAGCCGCAGCCGCAGCCGCTGTCGCAGCAGACGTCGTTGTCGCCGCAGCAGCAGCAGTTCGTGCCCTCTGGGAGTGCTGGCGTTGAGGAGGGTGCTAGTCCTGGAGTTCCTGTGGGCCTGGGGGTGGTGCCAGTGTTGAGAGAGTTTTTAGTTTTGGGGGTGCTAGATTGGAGTTTTTCGGCGGCAGCCATGGAGCAGCTGGCGGTCCAGGTGTCGGAGTCGTGCAGCCGCAGCAGCAACGGTCGCCGCCGGTGTCCGCCCTCCGCCTGCTCGGCCTTCCCTCCCCTGACCGCGGGTCTGCGCCTCTCCTTCCGTCTCCTCCTCTTCCTGTCTACGGCCCTGTGTTCCCTCCTCCGGACTCGTCTCCGGCTCGTCTTCCCCCTCGTTCCCCTCTTGTGTCCCCTCCTCTGTCTCCTGACCCGACGCCCCCGTCGCATGTCTGGTCTCGCCGTCCCTCTCGTGCTCGTCCGGTCTCCCCTGTTCCGCGTTCTCACCCTATGTTGCTTCGTTCCCATGTGTCTCGTCCTCCCCTCCTGCCGTCGCCTCATCTGTCCTCACTTGTTGTCGTGCATCCCCTTCTGTCTGACTACCTTCGTGCCGCTCGTCCCCTTGTTTCTCGGGTCCTTGCCTCTCTCGTTACCGACCCGTCTGTTCCTATCTCGCGCCTTGACACTCTTGTCGCTGCTATCGCTGAATTCGCCTCTACCCCCCGCCTTGACTACGCCACCGCTCTGGCCTCTTACCCTGCCTGTCCTCCATCCGTCGAGGGTGCTCCTGCCCTCGGCAGTGACGTCTTCGAGGACCGGCAGTACGAGCTTGCTTTCCTGTCCGAGGCTGATCCCCATCTCTGCTCCATGCTTCTAGTCCCTGAGGGTGACCCAGACGCTTTCGACATCCCGACCCCTCGCACCTACGCTGAGGCCACCTCGGGACCTTGGGCCACTCAGTGGATAGCTTCCATGGAGCAGGAGATGGCATCTTAGAGATCCACCGGCACCTACGTTGACGCAGTTTCCCTACTCGAGTGAACGTAGTCGATGGCCGTTGGGTCTTCAAGGTGAAGCGCCCCCTTGGAGAGTCGCCTGTAATCAGGGTGCACTACGGGGCTAGAGGCTTCAGTCAGCGTGAGGGGGTGGACTTCTTTCAGACCTTCGCACCGACCCCGAAGATGACTACTCTTCGGGTGCTGCTACACGTAGCAACACAGCGCGACTACGAGTTACACTCCCTCGAATTCTCTACAGCTTTTCTTCAGGACAGCCTACACGAGCAGGTCTACCTGCGGCGCCGTCAGGGCTTTACTGGTACCTTCCCTCCGAGGACCCAGTGGCTCCTGCGGCGCCAAGTCTACGGCCTGCGATAGGCACCCCGTGGGTGGCACGACACGCTACGTGCTACCCTAGCTGACCTGCAGTTCTTTCCGTCCTCGGCCGACCCCTCGCTCTTCGTTCGTGCTGGCCAGACCCCGTTCTACATCCTTGTCTACGTAGACGACCTGGTCTTCGCTACAGTAGACAGGGACGCGCTGGCCTTCGTGAAGGCAGAGATGCTGAAGAGACACACCTGCACTAACCTAGGAGAACTGCGTTACTACCTTGGCCTGCAGATCTCCAGGGAAAGAGCAGCGCGCACCATCACTCTCTCACAGTCACACTTGGTGTGCCAGGTTCTTTAGCGGTTCGGTCTTCAGTTCTCCTCCCCACAGCCCACACCTCTGCCAGTAGACCACATGCTCTCAGCTCCTGTTCCTGAGGAGTCAGCAGAGCCCAGTGGTCCTTACGCTGAGTTGGTGGGTTGCCTCATGTACCTGATGACTTGCACTCGCCCTGATCTCGCATACCCTCTCAGCATCCTGGCTCGCTTTGTGGCCACAGGCAGACACCGACCTCAGCACTGGTTGGCAGCTAAGAGGGTTTTGCGTTATCTTGCGAGTACATCGGGCATGGGGCTAGTGCTGGGAGGACGCAGGCCAGTGGTCCTTACTGGGCACACAGACGCTTCTTGGGCAGACGACGTTGAGACCCTCAGGTCCTCCTAGGGCTACTGCTTTAGCCTTGGCTCATGTGCTGTTTCGTGGAGAGCTACCCGCTCCTCGTCTGTTGCCCAGTCCAGGTGCGAGGCCGAGATCTACGCTGGTGCCATGGCGGCACAGGAGCTCCACTAGTTGACCTTCTTGCTCACCGACTTAGGTGAGCGGCCTAGCTCTGCCCCGAGTCTGTACGCTGACAACAGGGCCATGATCCTCCTGTGTCAGGAGCCTCGACTTGAGAGCAGATCGAAGCATATCCAGCTGCGGTACTTCCTTCTGCGCGAGCTACAGCAGCGTCGCCAGGCACGTATAGTACACTTGGCCTTTGGTGCCAACACGGCTGATATCTTGACGAAGGCACTTGCGCCTAAAGATCATCAGCGTCACTGTGTACAGCTTGGTCTTGTTCCTGTAGCCTCTCATTTGCTAGGGCCTTGATTGTGTACTGACCTTTATATATATATATTACCCTGACTGGCCTTGTGGCCTCTCCCAGTGGCTGGACTAGTAGTGACGCCCTGGCCTTGCTCTTGCCTTGGTCTGTACTCGTTTGACTGGTCTTTAGACCCTTGCCTTAGAGGCTGGACTAGTAGTGCCGCCCTGAGCTGCTTGTCTGGTTGTTAGGCACTGCCCCTATACAGTCTAGGGGGTGTGTCAAAACATAACTTAGTATGTTATTGTAGACTGTTTAGGTTTGTGCCTCAGAGGGTACAACACACTAGCCTATATTCCCTTGTACACTCTCATTCTATTTATTCTAGCATTCTAACAGTATTCTAGGACAGATCCCAGCTGAGGCCATCCATGCAGCCTGATGCAAGCTTCTCGCATGCAGATACATGCTCAAATAGTTTGCGAAGCATTGCATCCCACTTAGCCACACCAAACAAGGATCTTGTTGAAGTTGGAGCCAATCGTTGCTCCCTGTCCATCGCTTGCTGCCGGTTTGTCGGAGTCCCTTGCGGCGTCACATTTTGTTGCCACCAACTTAATGCAGGGTCGCGTAATAAAGATACCGCCAACTTGACGTGTGTCTCGTTGTCGTTGACATCAGCAGCATTGAAGAACAGTTCCATTGTGAACAGCCTGCCAGCCACTCAGCGTCATGTGTTTCTTGAGTGGGTTGAACGGTGGGGGCACCGCCAATTTAACCTTCACAACTGCCCACCGCTTGTTCGTGTTGTCGTCACGTGTTGCTGACGTTACCTGTGGTTGGTGCGTGATCGCACGGTCTTCGTCCGCTGTAACAGGCGACTCCTGACGCGTTTCACCACGTGCATGGCGAAGGCTCACGCTCTCTTCCTTCAGTTGGGCGAGCTCCACGGAAATCGCCTCCATCTTTGCCATCATCTCACCAAACTTCGTGCAAGGACACCTCGTGTTCAGGAACAAACTTCATTTCTTTGAAACAACTTATGGGATGGGAGTGATCCTAAGACTACATTGCCGAGTATCCCCAGTATTTGTTAATATGCCGGCGCGGCAGCTGCCACCACCAGCTGCAGCTGCTGCCAGCATGCGGCTTGCGTGCTGTGCCCTGTGCTCTGCTGCATGGCCCGAAAAGCTGAGTCAGGAGAGAGGAGGAAGAAGCTGATCACTCGGGGCCCTCATGCACGGATGCCAGCACAGCAGCTCCATGCATGCTTTCCTCACCACCACCACCCGCGGATGCTGCCAGCATGCTGCTTGCCTGCCGTGCCTTGTGCTCTGCCGTATTGCTCGAGAAGCTGCGAGTGAGGAGAGAGGAGGAAGGCGCCTGGCCCGAGGTGAAGCTGCCGCTCCGCCGCATGCCCGCTGAGACAAACGCTCCTGCCGCTGCCCCTGTGCCTGAGCTACCGGCACTGAATGCACCAGCGGCAGCAGCAGGAGACCCACTGGCGATGCTGGCTGCACGCACCATGTCAAGCCCACCACCGTACTGTGCCATGCCTGTCGCTGCTGACGTGGATGCTGTCATGGACGCTGACATGGATACTGATGCGAGCAGCGGAGGGCACTCGTAGACAGTGCCAAACGCCAGCTGCTGCTTCACCAGTTGGGGTATGGAGGGAGGCGCGTGGGGCAGGCTGCGATGATTACTGTTGATGCCAGAGCCGCTGAAGGAGCCAAGAGAGCTGAGGTCAATACCGAAGGGGGAAGTCTCTAGGGAGGAGAGAGAGGTGGCTGACAAGCGTGGGTTAGGGAGAGGTAGAGAGTTTCGGCGGGCACCACCAGCTGCGGCTGCTGCTGCTGCTCCGCCTGCTCCTGCCCTTGTGGGGGTCTGGGTTCTCCTGCCTGCAATGCCTGCCGTGCCTACTGCCTTGGTCCTCCCCCCGGAGTTGCCCAGATTGCTGCTGATGTTGTTTAGCAGAGTTATCTGCTCCTCCAGTCTGCATAAGGCAAAAGAATCAAATTCATTCTGTTAATAAACATGTGAAAAGGAATGTGCACCGCACAACGTGCCCAATATAGCTCACGCATTCGTATTCTTACGTGAATGTTCCTTTATACAGAGGACACAAACTTACTTTGCCTTATCCTGGTACAGTGCAATACTGTGCGTCCAGTACGTATCTCGCGACCTTTGTGCGGCCACAAGCTCCGCCTCGAGATTCACGTTCTCCTGCCGAAGCATCTCAACCGTCTGTTCCGCCTCCCCGAGCCGCTCCACCAGCACCCTGCCACGAAGGCAGAAGGGGGAAAGTAACATTCTCAGCCAAGAAGGAAGCGGCGAGCTATAATAGCGAAACAGCTTATACAGAGCGTCCAGTGGTTTCCGTTTCCACGGTCGCTCTCACTGTTCTGCTTTCCCCAGGCCGCATTCACTCGCCAAAAGTGCGCGGGTACTATTAGCGAGGAAGGGACGAGAAGAGTGGGGGGAGAGCATGAAAGGAACATGCGAAGAGCCCCCTCAGCTGAGAGTTGAAGTCCACACTGACTACTAGCTGGCGAATTCCCTAGCCGTCTTCTTCGCGTGCTAGGGGTAGGTAGACCAGCAGCAGCAGCGATCGGGTGCAGCGAGGATGGGTGGAGTCTACATGACTAGTCGTCAGAGGAAACGAAACATTCACTTATGCTGACTCGCTCTGATTCTTTGGCGATCCCGTCGTGATTTAACGCGACAGCCTCCTTCTCCTGCTCAATCCCCTCCGTTCGATCTGCCATTCTTCTCCACCCCCGAAACCCTCTCCGTCTGAGGACCTAAACATGCGACCCTTCTGACTTACTCTGATTCCATGGCGATCGCGTCGCGGTCGGCCACAACGAGCTCCTTCTCCTGCTCCAGCCCCTCCATTCGGTCCTCGAGGCGCTCCACACGCGCCGCCAGCTGCTTGCTCCGCGCGACCAGCGCGCGTTTCTCGCCGTCAATCGCGGCGGCCTCGTCGTCGCGCGCCGCGAGCATGGCCGCCTTCGCCTCCCGCTCCTGGTGGAGCAATCGCTGCAGCGACGCGGAACCTTCCTTCTCCCGTCGAAGGCTGTGCTCTGCTGAGATTTTCTGTCATTCGGCGACAGGACGGGAAGGAGTGGAGACGGCGGGACGATTTGGGATGGACAGAGGGGCTCCGACGCATGTTCCGAGGCCAATCGGAACTTGAAGAGAATATGTTGGATGGGGAGACGATGCGAGTTGACTAACGCGAGGGTCATTTCATGATTGCGAAACAACAGCAAGCAAAACATGAGCAGCAACGTGCACTTCCTTTCTGTCTGTTGAGACGCCGAGACACAGACTGGCCATGCACGGCGCGCGGACACAGATGTGCGCAACGCATACCTCGCAGCACGAGTGCCAAACAGAGCAAACAGACTAGAAAGAATGTACGTTCCTTCTACGCAAGCTCCTAGAACCCTATCAGACGGCATAATTCCAGTAGGTTATACCAAAGCGCAGACTCAGACGCACCTGGTACCTCCTAAATACGAGGCGCCGAAAAAAATAAGTAGTCCATATTGAGGCTACAATTAAGCTTAGTCTGTTGTGTCTGGACGCACCTGGGACCTCAGCGAAGCAAGTTCCTTCTCCTGCTCCAAATTATTAGGTGACAAGTTTATAGGCTACACTGTCTGGACGCACCTCACTTTTGAGTCGACTCTATAGCATAGTCTGTTGCGTCTGGACGCACCTGGGACCGCAGCGAGGCGAGTTCCTTCTCCTGCTCCCGGGCGGCTCGCTCCAGCTCTTGGATCCTCCGCTGCAGCTCGCCCGCCTTGTGCGCTGACTCCGCCGCAGCCGCCGCGTGCTGATGCGCCTCAACGCTCTTCCCCAACTGATGTCCCTCGGAGCTCTTACGAAGCTGATGTGCCTCGGAGCTCTTGCGGAACTCGCCCATGAAAAACACCGGGCCCGGGTCTCCTGGAAGAGGAATGGCCCCCGGCAGAGGAATAGCCGTCCCTGCCGTAAACGCGTCGGTGCTTGAATCGCGGTACCTTGAGCCCGCCGCAAAGGCGTCGCTGTTGGCGTCGCGGAACCTCGGCCCGGGTATTCCGCTGGGCCGCGGAATGGCGGAGTCTTCCATGCGGGGGAGGTAACCCACCGCCATCTCGGCTTGATTGACTCAAAGAGGTGTTATATCTGGCTACTTCCGAGTCGTAACGCTGCTATTCAGCGGAGAAACCTGTTGTTCGACGAGAAACCTAGGGAGAGAGTGTTGTACGTTTCTTCTAGTTGTCACACGGCGCGACAGAAACCTATCGTAGAAATCAGGACATCTGTGTCAACGTGGAAAATGGTGGGGCCTTGCGACGAACTCGTTGAAGCGGTCGCTTTGACACCGAAGGAGCACGCACAAGCAAACAAGCCTCGCTGTTCACTGTCAATGGAGGGCAAAGCAGCTGGACCCCGCGTTTTAAGTATCGTTGCCTGCTTGGGGATGTGGGTGGGAGGGATGGCGGCGAGGGGAAGAATGGAGGGGACGGCAGCAACAATAATTTTTGCTAACGCTTTTTGCACGGAGCAATGCTGCTGTGGGCCTGCGAGGTTGGAGATGGGTTCGAAGCCGCGCCGCGCATTGAAACGTGCAATCCGAGTCGCGAAACTGCCCTTGGTTCGAAAGCCGGTCGACAGCAGCAAATCGTGCAGCCAACCAATGGCAACTTGGCAGCCAAGCCACACACCCCTGCCCAGCTCAGCCACGAGGGCAACAATCAGGTGAATTATCGATATTGTTTTCTCCTCTATTAGATGCAAATGTCCAAGTGCACTACAAACATGTGTAATATATCGTCCTGATTACAGTATCGTTCTCCCTCGGCACTTGGCACAGCAATATCCCCCCAGGTCTGACCTGGCTTGACAACAACCCAGTCACCCCACCGCGAATTGCGGCGGCTTTGCATCAGCTACCGCCATGACATCAGCCGTGAACACACTACCCGACGATATATGGCTCACAGTTCTCCGCTTAGGCCTCGCGAGGAATCTAGGCTATCGCGACCTCTGCTGCATGGCTTTAGTCTGCCGCCGATTGCGGCGCCTCGGTTCGTGCGACACGCTGTGGGAATCCGCGTGGAATAAATACTGGGGCGGCTCGGCTGCAGCCGGAAAGCCTTCTAAGCCTGCACGTGAAAGAGTTTCTGGGCCCAGCTTAGCCCGTGTAGAAAGCGTGCAGGGCGAAGGGGAGGATTCAGTAGGTGGCGAGTGGGTTGAACCATCGGCTCGGAGTAAGCGGAAAGCTTTAGATGGCGTGCCGTTTTCGGAAGACGCGAGGAAAGTTCGCGATGAGGAAGCGATACTTCGAGGCAAAGGAGAAAGGCTGTTAGCAGCAGCAGGGGGGAGGGCTTCAGGAAGTGGGGGTTCCGCGAGTGAAGTTTCGTGGAAGAAACGGTTTCAAGACAGGTGCGTTTCAATGAGGTATCACTATTTGACTTGACTGAAACGTCAGCTCTGGATCCCTGTGTGCCGTTGCTGTCAGTGAGGAGGCATGAGGCACAAGTATGACGCCATGGCCTCGTAGCTGCAGAGCTGAGAGACGCGAGAGAGGATTTGCTTGCTCAGCCGTCCCAGAGAGAATCTCTCGTTGATTTAAACGTTACCGCAGGTGAGAGAATCTGCTCTCTTTTCGCCACCAGCCCAGCCGGGCGGTCGTCGTGTCCCCAGTACGTCCACATTCGAGCGGTGCCCTGTGGACCGCCGTGGATCGTGCCGCTCTGCCTTGGTTGCTCTCCACGCAGCGCAGTGGCTGGGCGATGTGATGTGATGTGATGAAGTGACGATGCTGCTCAATATCAGCACGTTGATCGATATCAGCATGTTGATCGGTATCACATCTGCCTAGCACCACACCCATCCCCACATGCCAGATGCTTTTTTGAGTCGACTCAAAGATCACCGTTGCTGCACCATGTTGATCGATATCACATCTGCCTAACTGCAACACACACCCATTCCCTCACCCGAGATTTTGCCCTATACGCCGGATTTGCCCTGTATCTGCCTAAGAGGTGGCTGGCTACTGGTGTAGGCGCATCGGGGGGAGGCGATGAGGCTGCAAGCTTCCCCTTATCTCCGTCACGCGTTGTGCTCACTCACACCTCCACCCGCCACTTACTCCCCTTTCTCCCCCTCCTCCCCCCTCCCCCCCCCCCCGCTAGTTTTGAGAAGGAGAGGCAGCGACTGGTGCAGGCTCATCGGAGGGAGGTGATGAGGCAGCAGAGCCACGTTGCAGAACTGGAGAGGCGGATCCGGGAGGGGGAGGAGGAGAGGGAGCGGACGAGAGCAGCACTGGCAAGGAGTGTGGAGGAGGGGAGGAGGCTTGAGAGAATGATGTGAGTGTGGGGAGGGTAAATGGGGAACGTACGAGGGTCTTAAGGGGCTGGAAGCAACCAGCTGGAAAAAAGAATGTGAAAAAAAGAAACATATTCAAGAAAATGCATCTCATTTCTTAGCTCCTATTTGCCATCCCTTCCCTCATGCAGCCACCAGTGGATTTGCAAGCACCCCTCAGCCAGTGACGGAGCCTCAGCATCTGGTGCTCCAGTCTGCAACAACGGTTGCACCCCTTTGCCAATGTCCCCTGCCATTTCCTCCCCTTCCCTCCATTTCCCTCTCTCCCCCCACTTCCCTCCCCTTTCTGGCGTCTGACAGAGCAGCAGGCGAAGCACCTCAGGAGGTGGCAGCGGCACCACCTGGTGCAGCTGCGGCAGTAGCAGCAGCAAATGTCTTGACCCACGCGTCCTGCACTTACCTCTCACATCGCAACAAGATGCGCCTCAGCAATTATGGGAGTCAGAGCACCTGGCCCAGCAGCAGCAGGCAGCTGGTGCAATCGTTCCTTCTTCCTACAGAGCAGCAGGAAGCGCCCCTCAGCAGCAGGTGCGGGAGCCGCAGCACCTGGTGCAGCAGCGGCTGGAGCTGCTGCTGGCTCAGCAGTGAGGGCCCTGCCTGCATCTCAACCCGCATTAGCTCTGCCGCTCACCCCATGTTTCCCAGCCCAGCTGTGACGGAACACATCTCAACCCACGCCATGCGTTAAGGCATCACCCCATGCTTCCAAACATAGCAACAGGAAGTGCTCCTCAGTGGCAGCAGCTGGTGGCTCGGCTGTGACAGCACAGCATGCATCTGACCGCACACTTGGTGTGTGCGTTCATCCCGTGTTTCCCTACAGAGCGGCAGGCAACGCCCCTCAGGAGGTGTGGGAGCCGCAGCACCTGGTGCAGCAGCGGCAGCAGCTGCTGGCGCAGATGCCTATCAGCGCGCCTGCCAGGCTGGCAGCCCTGAGGCAGGAGGTGACTCTGCTGCGACACACTATAAGAGAACTGGAGTCCAGTGCGGTACGGATGGTTGCAGTGTGGTATGGGTGCTAGTAGGGTGTTGTAGAGGGGGGTTTTCTGGATCAGACCCCTGTCAGTTTGCCTGCCAGGCTGGAAGCACTTCGGCAAGAGGTACTATGAGAGGACTGGAGTCCAGTGCGGTGAGGAAGGGTGCAATGCAGCAGTGGTGTTCGCCAAGAAGCACTCTGCATATGATGCTTGTGCCCCGCGCTTTTCCGCTGGATTGCGGTTCCTTATTTCCCTGCATCCCCATCTCCCACCCCCACCTCTTCTTCAGTCATTGCACCGGAAGCAGCTCTCCGAAGCTCAGAGAGTGCTTCAAGGGCTCTTGTTCCGACCCAAGCTGCTTACACCTCGCGCAGCCATGCAACAGCTTCATTTCTTCACGCACATCCCCACCCCCCTCCCACCCCACCCCTTTCAGCCGATACACCGGAGGCTGCTCTCCGAAGCCCAGAGAGTGCTGCAAGGGCTCTTGTTCCGACCCAAGCCGCTGCAACCTCACTCCGCGCTGCATCAGCCTTCTCTTCCGTCGTCCGTCTCCCAAACCTCTTGCAAGAAGCCAAAGAAAGGGTGACGCCAGAAGGCAGCTTATCGGAGCCCTGCTTTTCAAATTGGGCTGTGCTGCAACAAGGACTCTACTTCTGATCCTACCCAAGCCTCTACCTCACCGTGCTTTTCAAATTTGAACACCCCCCACTTCCTTTATCCATCCCATCGACGGGGATCAACGGGCGTCTGCTTCATGGAAACGAAATACCAATGGGTGACGCTGGCGACAGGAGCATGGCAGTGCGGCGCTAGATGTAGCAGAGATGGGTGGCGGACGCCAGCCTACAGTCGCAGATAGAAGTGAAATGTGCCACCGTGATTGAACGAGCATTGGCAAGAAGCAGAAACCAAACCCAAAGGTTTAGGTTTCGGGGGGTCGCGAAAATTGCGAGGTGTAGGGGTGTCGGGGGGCCGAAGTTACTGTTGAAAGAATTTGAAAGGTGGTGCAGGAGCAGGCCCCCAAATTGGTTTTGGGCCCGTCCGATTCGTCAGAGTCCACTGCCTTCCCTTGGTATGGGTGTCAGAGTTACCTCGAAAAAGTCTGGAAAATCAGAGTAGCCTTCGATTTTTTGTCTGACCAATCAGAGTCGTAGCCAAACTTTTGTATGAGCGTTTTTTATGGTACTTCATTAGACAATGCACTACATTTCAATACATATACCATATCAGTCAATATCCTGCATATCCTGCTGAGGCACTGCCGGAATATCATCATCTACTTTCTCCTTTCCCTTTCTGCTGCTACTAGCCTCGGGCAGGGCGTTGCTAAGGGGCTTCCTCTTCTTATAAGCCCGCCAGATGGTGACCACCACCTCTTCCCAGTCGGGGTCATACTCTAGCTGCGACATGCACATCAGATCTCCTAGCCTAGTATCCCTGAGAGCCCCCCGCAGCCAACTCTTGATGACGTTCTGGCGGGAGAACCCGCGCTCGCACTCGACAGTGCTCAACGGAAGGACAGCCACCGCGACCCACAGGTTGACCAGGTTGGGGTAGCTGTCCCTCCAGTCCTGCGTCTTGAGCATGGCGCTCAGCCCCGCGTGGAATGACTTGTCCGCCTTGGAAAGCGCAGCAAGGACGGGGACGAAGTTGCGGAGCTCGCTCTGGGCTTTGCGCTTGTCTATACCTGCTCAGACAAGGGCACACAAGGAGAGGGAGAAGGGTTGGGTTATCGAACACAGTACACCGGGTTCAGGAAAAGATATGCGTCTTGTTTCTGTTGTAATATAATCGATACTTAGCATTTCTGTAAGTTGATCAGGTGTAGTTAGTGTCGAATCCTACTGTAGAACATAAGTCCGTAGGATGACGTCAGCAAATAGCGCTCGTCAGAGGACAATCGTTTCAGTCACGCGAACAGTCGCACCTCTTCATTATTATCTAGGGCGCATAGCGCGGTAGTGACGAACAGGTACAGTAGCGAATAGGTACTTTTCCTAGAACTATAAATCCTTGTTTGGTCTTTTCATTATCAACTTTGATTACCCACAAGTTCACGTACTCAGGTTATTCAACCTTGACTACGTATTACATTTTACAAGACTTCCGCTGTCTTACTAGTCTACCATTCCAGTAAAGATCCTGGACTAAGACTTGAGGATTTCCAAGTGTTCGTGTTTGCAGTTTATACTTAGTCTCCTACAACATTGGACAAATTATTTCATGGTATGAGAGCTATCTTGAATTCAGACTACTGTAAAAAATGACTGGTTCATCACCAGCACCATCTGCTGGATCAGTTACCAGGACTACTAGAGTACAAGCCTCCACTACCGCCGCTGGTCTCTCAGCCTCTGGGCAGTTTCCACCAGCTTATGCTCATATCGGTATGCAACAGCAGCAGCAGAATCCGCCTCCTGTCAATACTCCAGGGATGTCATCAACTGCCCCTGCAGCACAACATCAACAAACACAGACAACAGCACAACAACAAGCATCAGTTCAGCAACAGGCATCAGCACAACCACCGGTTTCAACGCAATCAATTTCATATGCGTTCAGTGGAATGAGCCTTGACGGCTCAAGTTAGATACGTGGAGCCACAGCTCCAAGTACTGGTTCGTTTGCTTTCTCACCTTTTGTACAGCAGCCGCAGTCGCAGCAGTTTCAGCATCCCTTCTACATCTTCGGGCGTTCCCCTGCTCATCAACAACAGCAACAACATCAGCAACAATAGCAATTTCAACAACAGCAACAGCAGCAACAACAACAGCAACAGCAACAACATCAACAGCCGGGTATTATTTTTCAACCTCCAAATCTACTTAACAGCACACAGATAAAAACCACTATACCTTTTAACGGAGTTGACTTCTACTCCTGGAGCTTTGAGTTTGAGCTTCTGGAGTAGTCCGCTGGGCTATGGCCGTTCTTCACTGGAGAGTTCACATATCCTGTTGTGGGAACAAAACTGGAGCAGCAGAGTTTCTTGCACGCCTCTCTCGGGGCGTATACGGTTCTTGTACGAAACTTATCACCGAAGGAGCAACTCGGCATACGGTCATTTCACTCAAGTTTCACACCAGATGAAACTGCATGGAATCATCTGAAGGGGGTATACATGGCAAAGGACACAATAACAGTGAGTAAAATTCTTTCGCAGCTGACAAGTGTGCAGATGATGACAAACGAAAACGTCATGGACTACGTTAATCGTGTCCGTACACTACGAGATCAACTGGAGAAGAGTGGAGGATACTTCCCTCGTGAGATGTATCTCACGGTCCTTCTTGCTGGTCTTGGATCCGAATGGCGACAGACGCGCGCTTTCCTCCGAATGAACTCGAACCTCTCCGAAGCTGAAATTTCGTCGTATCTTCAAGCAGAGCAGCAAGATCTTGACCTGCAGTCACAACGCAATCAGAAGAAAGGGGTTCACATAAGTTTTTAATCCAATCCCCAACCACAGCAACGACAACCTCCAAAATATCCATACTGCCATTTCTGCCAGAAACCAGGCCATACTTACCAAAACTGTCGCAGCCGTCATCAAAATCGCCGAAGCACTTCACAGCCGTATCACCGATCGCAGCAGTTACCAAAGACACAACAGTCACAGCAGCAGTTAACTTCTCAGCAGCAGCAGATGCCGAAACCGCCGCAGAATCCCTCGACTTCACAGCATCGCCCGCCGGTCTTCGCATCTGCCACATCAGGAAAAGGGGTTTTTGGATGTGTTACTACAGTTGATGTTTCAGAAGCAGATTTCGAGACACACCTTGAAGAAACTACAAGTGCTAAAGGCATTCCCTTACCGCAAGTTTACGCTAACCTTGCTCGAGTTATTTCAGGTCCAAATACTTGGTATCTTGACAGCTGCTGTGGTTGGCACATGTGCTCCTCCGAAACAAGCTTCATCACCAACCAGCGACCGCTTCGTCGTCCGATCCCTGTCACAGTTGCAAACGGACAAACGATTATGGCACGTTCTGTTGGAAGCGTGATGCTCGAGTCAATCGACACGGGATACTCACTCCATGTTACCAATGTTCTAATCGTCGCCGGTCTTATCTTCTATCCACGGCTCAGCTCCTAGCACACAAAATTCGGACACAGGGCAATTATGAATCAATGGATCAAGAATTATGGCACAACCCAACAAATACTTACCTCGGTCGTGCCGCTACTCAACATGGTGTTTCCGTTCTTTTGTTTACAGCACAAGGAACTTCTGGTGACTCTGAACGCGTTCTTGCACTTGGTCCCTGGGATCATCCATAAGAAACGGATTATCAGCTCGTGGATATTGATTTTCGAGCAACTACTGTGCCAACATCTTCTCGAACTGCAGCAACCGTACTCACCGCCTTAGATACCTGGGAGTTTAATACCGCTGATGAAGGTGCCAATGCTTGGAGAACTTTCTATACCACTCGCGAGGCTCTTCAAGGAACTCCAACTCCACTTTGGCGTGAAATTAGCGGCCTTGCAGCTGATGAACCGGATGTCGATAAAGAAGCTGAACAGGAAGACGTAACTGAGCAGCCAAGTCCACCAATCGCTGACGCAGCAACACCTGCCACCACATCAACAGAAGCAGTATCAGAAGTAGTCATTACAACTACAGCAGCACTATCAACCGTTACGTTACCACTTACCCGTTTCATCGTAGGGGAGCATGACATGTCACCAGCCCTTTCTCCTCTCATAACTTCTTCGTTTTATACTAACGCCAATTTCTACCTGCGGTCATCAGGACACAAAACCACCGAAGATATCTGGCATCAGCGGTTAGGACATCCATCACAAGGGATTCTTAATCATTCAATCCGAGCAGCAATTCTTGATAAAAATAGTCTTCTCTTACCTGACGGCACGGAGATGAAGCCTCAGTCTCGTCCGACAGTTTGCACCACGTGTCCGGTTGCCAACCTTACTCACGATCCGTTTCCTAGTCATTTTCCTGGCTCAACACGTTATAACCTGATGCAGAAAGATTACAGAGACATATTAATCTTACCTGAAGCAGGACCTAAAGACGAGAAGTACGTGATAACATGTATCGAAGCGTCTACACGCTACGTCTGGACAGCAAACCTTCCCGCCCGTTATCTCGCTCACTCCGTCTTCGTCGCATGGCTCGCTGTCGCTGAACGAGAGTTTGGCGTGAAACTGCAAGAATTCCAAAGCGATGGTGCAGGAGAGTACACCAGCAACACTTTCACAGAACACCTGCAGACTCTCGGCATCAAATGGAAGCAGTCACTGCCACACGCACACCAACAGATGGGGGTAGCAGAAAGAATGAACAGAACTTTGTAGGAGAAGATGCGTGCTCTGCTGACGCAGGCAGCCCTTCCACCGCGTTTTTGGCCATATGCAATGGACCACGCTGTGCTGTTACACAATCCTCTTTCTTCAATGTCCCTACCCGAATTTTCCTCTCCTCACCTGCGTGGATATGCACAGTGGGGGGAAGTACCAAACTTTTACGAGTGTTTGGGTGTGTCGTGCAGTTTCGTCCTCCAACTGCAGCACTCCGGAAGTTTCCAGAATGAGCAAAATGGGGGGTACATCTCGGCATCGAAAAACAGTATCATGCGTGGAAGATTTTGGATCTTCGCTCCAACCAAATCGTCCCTTCACGTGATTGTCTTTTCTACGAAAGACTCACCTTGCCCGTTTTTCGTGCCCACCAGGCAGCAGCTGCCAACCCCGCCAGGCTGTTCGAGGGTTCGCGTGCATTTGCAACCGATGAAGCCGAATCTGATATACAAGACGAAGCAGTTTCTGAAGCATCCGAAGCTGCCACAACTGACATTCCCGAACCTGTAACCTCGACAGGCATACCGGTGTTTATTCCTCTTGCAGATGCTGACTCAGATGACGTTCGCGAAGTTCATCTCAGTTACGAACGCGATCGCCAACAGCAGCCGATGCCCGTTGTCTCCGACGAAGCAATTCGTGTTACACCTGACAAAATTGGGGGGGAAGAAGGAGCAGAAGAGAATTTCGCAGGTGCAAACGAAGAACGTCCGCGCATTACAGAATTAGGATGAGAGATACTTGGATTTGCAGTCGCAGTACAGTGCAACAACAGTAAGATACCTGAACTGAAGACTGTTCGACAAGCTCTTACGAGTCCTCACTGAGAGAAATTGTGCGAAGCCATGGACAGAGAGCTAGCAGCTCTCAAGAGTCGCGGCAC